ATGCCAGAGGTCACTATCCTTGCTTACCAGTGCCTTGTGAATTTTCATTAAGCTTCAGACAAGAGGAAATGTAGGAGAATCTGCAAGTAAACCTCCCCCTGGACTAAATCAGCAGTTGCGAAGAGCAAGAATAGCCATCTTCCCCAGAACAGTGTTGTTCTCCATGCTCCATTTCATCTAATACTTGAGTGTTAGAAGCACAAACACTTGAGACTTGAGAGGTTTCCGCACTTGTACTGACAAAAGGTTCCCACCCTCGGAAATCCCACTTAAATTTTAGCAGCTACAAGGCAGCAGCTCCTGACTCTTGGCAGAAGGGTAAATCCCACACCAAAAGCATATTTCAAGTTGCAAAGCTGTCATCCATGAGAAGGTAGCTGGGCTCTTTACTGAGCTAAGAGATACCATTGCAGTGCAGAATCCATTTAGTAACAGAAGGAAGCAAAAAGCCACAGTAGGACAGGGTGACAGATGGCAATAATTGCACACAGTAGCTCATCTTAAGTAACTTAGCTGTTTGCTTTCACTTCTCAGCTGGACAAAACGCTTTCCTGACTTCTGAATCATCCACGGCTCATGACCGGGCTCTTACTCAGATGATGTACAAGGCATTGTTTCCTTTTCCTGATGGAAGCCCAAGCCAGGGCTTGGGAGACTCTCCACTTGGCTACCTGAGCTGGTTGGCTAGTTGGAGGCAATACAGCACAAGTCACGAGCGCATCTGTAAGTTCCACAGCTCCCACAGCCTGCTGATCCAGCAGCCTCTGCAGAGACAACCAGAGCATCCACAAGGAGGGACAGGGAGGATCATCTGCTGAATCTTAACATTATCATGCAGATAATGTTAAAATTAGTATATAGCAAGATCTCTCTAAATGAATCAGATAAAATCAGAACAGGTGCAAACGGAGCATTTGTGCCATTTGGGATCTTCTTTAAAAGTCCACGCTCCAAGTAGCCTTGCTATCCTTCCTTGCCTCCTGCATACAGTTTGCTAGAAACATTTCGAGAGCCCCTCACTCTATTTTTCCTCCCTTACCTGCTCTACCCACTTCTTCCAAATGTATCTTCCCAACCAAGACTGTAAATGCTCTTCTCTCTTGAAACAGGAACAGCCCAGTTTCCAAGTGGCCCCTTCCTAACTCTGCCATGGCCTGGTCTTCCCTCAAAATTCATGCCAGCTCATTTCTTGATAACTCCCCTCTCCAGGCTTCCCTCCCACTGTCAATATCCTAGCTGCATGCGCATCCTCAGCTACACTTGCACATGAATAAGTAACTGTTCCACAGGCAGATATTTCAGTGTTTGCACTTGTCTTTAGAAATCAAAGCCTTCTCTGATTAAATGCCATTACAATCCAGCGCTTGGACGGATCCAGAGAGATTAATGTGCTTTTGGGCAGCTTTAATGATAATCCTGCTACAGATGGTATTAAGTAAATGTCAGTAACCTGGTTTGAAGGGAGCTTTCACCTCAGGGATCCTTTCCATTTAGAGAAGAGAGGCTCAGCTTGCTTTTCAAGGCTGCATTGTCACACAAGAGAAATCCTGCTTAGTGAAGACTCCTCTTCCTCCGCCCAGTAAAACAAAATGGAGTAAGATGATAGAGGGATTGATACATAGATAGATTGAGGTGATTTATAGGGAGCTAATGCACCTCTTGAAAGCCAGAACTGCTGTATATTATAAGCCATGTTGTAGTTTTAAAACCTGGGTTGCCACCCCCTCTTCATGCTCCTTTCAGTGTCTGCTGCCTTTTGCTCACTCACTACCATGCCACGCAGTTCTTCACCCAGGGCATCAACAGTAGCAGCTGATAATGGACCTTGTCATATTTGCCCCCATCTGCTGCACCTTGCCAGAGGAGAGGTCTGGGGTGTGCACTGCTCCTACCTCATCTTACTGCGGCCACAATAACAGACCTCGTTCCCTATCACACGACTCTTGACAGGCTCGGTATTCCCTCCTTTCTACTGTTGCTTTATTGGTAATCAATAAAAGTTAATCATTAATTTCAGGGGGTGAGGAGAGAAAAGGAAGAAAGAACAGCTCAGCGCAGGCACTAAGAGAGTTTGCAGAAACTCAGTCCTACCACTGAGCTGAGTAACATCCTATACCTGACAGATTGCCAGAAACCTCTTACACTTTGCAGTAGTAAAAGTTTGTTGACAACTTTTTTAAAAATACATCTTAGCCATTGTTTAGAGACCAGCTCAGAATATGTGGTTTCATTGCTGCATGGAATCTATTGTGCCAAGACATCACAAAACAATCTTCCCAAAGGCACAGATGAACAAAAAAATGAGCTGAATTCCCACCCTAAATCTCTCCTATCACAAGCAAAAGCCTCTGCAAGTTAGAAAAACTGAACTTAGCTGCTTCTCTACTTTATTTTGGAACATACTGACAGCAAAATATGCCACTGAAAGGCTGAACTCATTGAATATTTCCACCCTGACTGGTTGGAGAAAGCTACGGACGATTGCAAAGAATGTTTTTCCCTGGGCTTCTCCAGACAACTTTGCCATCTCCAGTAGTTTGAGAAAATTCAAAGAAGCAACCAAAATCCCAGGGAGCTACACTATGCTAGTTACCTCGACCTTGGAATGGATTTGCTGTCCAAGAACCATGAGGAAGCCCGGCTCAAAATCTGAACGTACATATTACTCAGGAGTCCTCTTGCTAATGCATCAAAACAAGCCTTTCTGACTGAGTATTTCAAGACTTGAGGAATATTCACTGTTGTATCTCAGCGCTGTGGACTAGATTTGACCTATGTGACCTCTGCCTTTACAGCAGAAGAAAAGGACAGGATAAACTCACTCAAAGAAACGACTCTCTCGCTTTTGACTAGTTGACTTGTCCAGGTGAATGAAGCTAACTGCATGTTCTGACATGGACGAGGCTTTTAAAATCTCTCTTGATAGCAAAGTCCACGAGCTACTATGTTCTCAAGAGTCACACTATAGAGTTCTTTGCAGACCAGATGCATCATTGAGGCCCTTACCTTGGTAAATACAAAGAAAGATCATCAGCACAAAACAGACATAGAGGTCGAATTGTGTCTACCTCTGATCAGCTGACAATGACCTCTGCGATGCCTTGATGAGAGGGAGGAGGAAAACCGGTGACCCAAATGCTCCAAATTTTTCCTCAGGGAGACATGAAAGGAGACTGTACTATATATGGGTGAGGTTGTGTTCATTTAAGAAGTTCCTTGAATGAAAACGGACCAGATATTTTGCAGGGAAAAGAGCATCATTCACTATTACCAACTGACTTTGGCTTGTTCATCAAAATTACAATGGAAAGACAGTCTCAGAATCTACTTTAATCTTAGACCTTCCTTTCCTGTATTTCAGTGGAGAAACACATGAAAAGGTGCCTGCCTTTCTGCCTGCAGAGGTTACTAGAAAATACCTCATTTCCTTCTGCAGGGTGCAAGAGCAGAGCAAGAGGCAAAGACAAACAGGCAGAGAAACAGGCCCATTATTCAGTCCTCCACCTGTAATTTGGCTGAGCTCTTCAGGCAGAGAAAGAACTGCATGCTGACTTAGGGAGGCAGCTGCGAAGATACACTTAACGTTCTCTCCATGTGGGGCATACCGAACTCACATTTCCTGTCCCTTGAGAGGTCTTTGGCCCATCTCTAACTGATTCCACATGAACTTTGCCATGGGTAGAAAGGGAGCAGAGAGGAGGAAGAGCAGAGAGAGAGGAAGCATTCAGATTTCGGAGGTAAGTGGACAGAGAGGTTAAATACAATTGATTTTATGCCGTAGCTCTTTGATAGCCAGTCAACCAAGTGCAACTTTGAGGCTCATCGATAGGGCACAAGGGGAAAGGCAAGCAGCAGTGCCTCAATCAGCACTCACTGACTGGGAGAGGTGGCTTGACACACTGTCCAATGGCTCAAAACCCTTTCCCTTGGCATCTTCCCAGCCCTTCTGGGAAGTAATACCTTATTTTCCTCAAGAATCTCTTAGCCACAGGGAATGCAAAGTGCTCTCCCAACTTCATGCCACACATACAAACTACATCACTCATTAGGGAAATGTAGCCTCTCTGTAGGGACGAAATCTGGCAACTGTTTAATGAAGTACTGCAAAACTACACAGTATAAGACCAGGAAGCAAAGAAGAAACTGTTGCATGTGGAAGGAAAAGAGAGGTTTTGGAAAGCAGAAGAAAACAACCCATGTCAGAATCTTATGCAAAGCACCATGGCTGAGGCTCCATACCTCTAATTACTGTGATCATATAAAACCTATGATTTATATCACCTGCACAAGGTGATAGCTGTCGGTACATGAAAGCTACCCATGCATTTGTTTAGGAGAAAGTTAACGCAGAAGAAGGGGAAGGAAAGAAGAGAGACATCAAGAATCAGAAGCTGAAGTTGTTCCTTTAGGATAACAAGAACTGCCACCTTGGAACAAACTATGAGTATATGTAATAGAATCATAGAATGGTTTGGATTGGAAGAGACCTTAAAGATCATCTAGTCTCAACCTCCCTGCCATGGGCAGTGACACCTTCCACTAAACCAGGTTGCTCAAAGCCCCATCCAACCTGGCCTTGAATACTTCCGGAGATGGGGCATTCACAGATTCTCTGTGCAACCTATTCCCATGCCTCACCACCCTCAGAGTGAAGAATTTCTTCCTTAGATCTAATTTAAATCTATCCTCTTTCAGTTTAAAGCCATTACCCCTTGTCCTAATACAAAAAAGCATGGTCATCTTTCACTACTCGTCTCCTTGAAGATCTCTCTAGCTGTGCAGCCTACAGGAAAGCGTTCCCCCAAAGGGGTTATATGTACTTTTCCCAGAATCACAAGAACTGAAATCTCTCAGATTGATTGCTCTGTTCACACATGTTTGTGCTCCCTTTTCTGCCTCCTCCTTTCCTGTTAGCCTCCGTTTTGCATCAACGTCGGTTGATGTCAACATCAGTTTCGCATTGCTCACCATGCCCAATTCAGAGATAGCTGAGAAACTACCTCATTGACATTGATGCCATTCCTCTCCATGTAGGCCCTGTCGTTCACCTGTCCCCCTTCCATGAACTCCATGAGAAGGACGCGCCTTGTTGAGAGCTCCCAGTAGATCCTGGGGACCTGAAACAGGAACAGATGGGTTAGGTCAAACAATTGGCCAGGAAAGCATGGAGAATATATCACACACAACCCAGAAAAGGAGTAAAAATAGAAGAGGCTGAAGTGAGGACTGGTTTCTTTCCTGAGAACAAGGGAGGTAAACCTATCTACCGGCCTCTTCCCCAGGACAGCAGCAACGTGTGCAAGGACAACACACCAATTCAGTGGCAGCAGGATCTGTCCTTGTGCAACATTTCTGGCCACGATCTACAAGATTTTGACCACCTCCCACTCCCACTGATGTCTGAGAGCTTTCCTACCTGCTCTGCAGCTCCCCTAGCTGGGCTGTTTAGCAAGTAACTATTGCAAGTTTCTGAATCATCCGCTCAGCTCCTTTAGACAGGAACTGCCTCTCGTTTGCTACGCACAGGGCCCACTTACGCAGCTCTAAAAATGATAAGCCATCGTCATAAATTGTATCTGTGCAGTGCCCCTCGGAACACAAACGCCTTTGAGCTGACAAACCCTGCATACTTAGGCCATCTGCGATGGAACTGGGAGAAAAATCAAGTGTCACAAATAAGGGGCTTGTCACAGAAATCCTGAGAGACCCTTAACTATCTTATTGCCAATGTGACACAGTAACAAGTGTAAAATGTCAAAGCACTTTTCATTCAATCTGCAGTAAATCAAGCTGAGTGAGGTACCAGTAAGAGGCCTGGTGTCACCCAGGGAGGCAGTGACGCAGGCATCGCTCAGGCTCACTCCCCCCCTTTTCCAGCCTCTCTCCAGCCGAATTCTTTCCATGATGAAGTCCCTACGGTCAAGAGCCCTTTTGCTGAAGTTCCCTTTGGATATTCCTCAAGTCATTGTGCTGACCAATATTCCAACCTGTTCAGATTTGCCTTCGCACATGGGTGAAGCCACACAGGCACATTTTACCGAAGGTATGAGGGAGCTCCACCCATTCCCATTAATGTGCCTCAGTACAGAGAGACACATATTGGACCCTGAAAAGATAGAGCCAGCTGTGCAGGCCCCTCTTCTCACCTGCCTGACTCGGCCATGGACTCAGGACTCACACACTGCAAGGGTCCAGCACCTTGGGGCAAGACAGAAGAGGTAAGCAGTTTTGTCCATCTAGTGCAACCAAAGCCAGGGGAACCAGCCAGGACACTGTAGCTCATCCTAACTCCTGAACAAGGAGCATTTGTTTCATACTCTGCTTGTAACGACTGACAGCGTCTCAGTCCCTCACAAACTGTCTGCCTCCCCCACTGTTTCTGTCCTAGATAGACCATTTTCCCAATGTCGCCCACTTCTACCTTACCACGTGTATGCCGCTTTAGAACAAAGACTCCTTTGCTGAGCGATTCCAATGTCCCTCAGTCCCACTGTTCAACACTCCTGGCATACCTTCCATGTTAAACTTGCGTAGACTTTGATGCCAGGGATCCACTATGGGCAAGGAGGATTCGGTTACTCGCAGCTTTCCCAGCTTATGAGGATGTCCATTCTTTGCAGTTAGATTGGTGAGAAAGCAAACCAGCTCCAAAACGCACAGTCCCCAGCCCATCTAGCTCACTGATTCCTGCTGCCTAAAATCATTTCAGATGACACTCATTCTTGTCTCAAGATTTACAGTGGCAAGTCAATGGGCTTGTAAAGCACTATCCATGCTCTCGGAGATGCGTCTCTCACTCACAGCCAAATTCTTCAGTGATTTTTTTAATTACTCACAGATGTTTGGCTGTAATGCTAGCGCATGGAAACAATTTATCTCTGGCTTTAAAAGCTTAAACAGGTTCACAGCACAAAATCTACTTCTCAGCTTTCTAGCGTGTTTAGGAAAATTAATGATACAGGAGCCCAGTTCTTCGGTTGCCTTTGGGTGATGAACACGTCTCTGAATTGGCAGGTCAGACCAGAGGATCCATTATTTAGCCATCTCAAGCCATTTGTTATTGTTACACATATTGATACCATGATAGCTCCTTAACCCAGTGAGGAGGTGATTGGCCGTCTCCATGGGGATTTACTTCACAGTATCCTAGTTACAGCTGCAACAGATACAGCTCTCCAAGGTGCATCACTTCTGATAAGCGCCCACTCAGCAAAATCATTGGCCTTTGGCCTTCTGTAGCCCTGGTGGCTTTTAGCTCCCTGTGTCTGTGGGAAGGCCACTGCTGCCACTGGGCTTCAAAAGGACTTCCCCGAACCCAGAGTCAGGTGACAAGGAATTATAGCCCTTGCATGGAGGAAGCAAGGAGAAAATGGATGCATCAGCCTGTAAAGTCTAACAAAACTCACCTCATTTCAGACATCTGTCACCTTCATCTTGGGACTTTGGCATAAACAGGAGGTGAAAACCTCATTTTGATCTGTGTATGCAGGGGGTTCAAAGGACAGCGCACTTTTTGCTGCCTTTGTGTACGTGCAAACGCAGTTACATCAGTGACTGCGCCCACAGCACTATGTGTGCTTGACCACGCTTGTGTACTTCCAGAATGCACACAGTGGAGGTTTGTGCCTCTTGTATGTCAGCAAAAGATTTGTGCACGTGTGACTTTGACGATGTGAACGTATGTCTGCAAAGAAAGGGATGTGTACATGTCTGATTTTACTTGAGGCATTTGTCAGTGACCTCAATCAGCGTGTACCAGGAGAGGTGGAGTAAGAGCATCTGTGGGGAAGAGCACAATATGGGTGCAGCTGAGTTTGTGTATGAAGGGAACATGAAGGCATGCGTATGCAGGATGTATGCTCAACTCCAGTGTGAGAATTTACTTTTTTGTAGCAGGAAAAATTTGTACAAACATGCTTCCTCCTGAGATATGCAGTGTACCAAATCCTACTTGACATCATCAGCTTCAGTCTAGCTTTCCTGGTTTATGTCCATTTCTTGCCCTCAGTTGAGGTAAAGCCCAGGAAAAGGTACCATCAGATGGCTCAGCAAAGAATGGCAAATTCACAGGTCTCTGGACAAGTTCAGAAACAGTGTGTGGGGAAATGAGTAGCAGGTTCCAGAGACTGCTGGCCCCAAGCCACCACTCCTCATCCAATATACGGTGCCTACAGTAGGAAACACACAAGGAGGAAGCATGTCTCAGAGTGGTTTCTGGTCCATATCAGCAGAGCAGTCTAGGATGAACAACACAAAGGGATTGAACTCCATTCTCCCTCTGTATGGTTCCTCCAGGCAGTGAATGATGTGCACAAGATGCATAAAGTGAGACTATTAATGCACATACATACACGGAAATATGTGTTCCCTTACTTTCAGGAAGTCAAAGCTCTTGAGCATATGAGCAACCTTCTCAGCATTTCTGCCTTCATTGAGGAAATCCAGCTCCAAGGGCAGATTCTTCTTAGCTTCTTCCACCAGCCACATGAACTCAAAATCTGGAAAGATCTGCTTCACAACCAAGAGGAGAACCTGAGAATAAGGAAACAGATTATCAGCTGCATCCTGGCTCCAAAGCCATGCAGCTACACACAGTGCTGTTTTGATAGGATAGTTCCATGTAACTTACAGACAAAAGAACCCAAACTGCAGCCCAAGTGGTTGTAGGGTTCCTACAGTATCATAACACAACACCTGCTGCCACACCTTGGTCGTGCAACATAAATTTTGGCTTCCCCTTCCACATAGGCACATCTAGGAGTTAAATGATGGCACAGACACCAAAGGGAACCCAGCTGCCTGCTGCCTAGAAATAAGAGAACAAGTCCTGGGGAAGAGACCACATGGCTAGAGCATGGCTCAAGAGCAACTCTCTTCTGAGTTCTATAACTCTAGAAGTCACTGTTTGCCTTCATTTGAACAGCCCTCAGATAACGCAGACGAGGAAGACCTAAAGTAAGACTCGTAACCTCTATGTTGCTTCTTTCACTGCTGAGCACAAATTTTGCTAGCACAGAAAATCCACCAGGCAGTTCAGAGAAGACAGTGGAGTTTGGATACCGGTAGTAGGCTCCACATCTTTAGAGCACACTTCTGGTGGGGGTCAGAGGGCGAGTTGGTCTTCAGCATCAGTCACAGCCACGCTCAGCAACGCTGATGGTGGTATTTTCTAAGTATCATATAACCACCACCCGACATCCTCTTCTTCTTAAAGGGATTAGGTATTCAGCCCAGCTGAAAAGTTCCTGGAAACGTTTGCTTACAGCAACATTTGAGGGGCGAGGGATGGGCAGTCCTTCCTGAATGAAATGAAGATAATGCGATCGAACGGCATAACCAAAGCTGCACCGCAGCCAAGCATGCTTTCTGTTCAAATGAAGGGCCAGTTTCTCAACCGGTGTCACAAATTTACACAAGCTGAAAATTTGGACCACATCTGAAGGAAAATAGTTTGTTTGGGTTTTTTTTAACTACTTGAATCATAAAACAATAATAAAACATTAAAATGCAATCCGCTTTGCTGTCTTTATCTTACTTGTCCTGTAGAGCCATCTGAAAATAAAATTTGTCAGTGTGTGTTCCTGGACAGTTTCCCTTTCTAGGTTTCCGCCATTGAGGAGGGAATTCCTGCACTGCAGGAAGAACATTTAAAGCACACACGGAAAGCTGCTATCATTGAAATTTATGACAAAAAATAAATTTATGAACCATCACTGCTCCTGTTCAGCTGTGTGAAAACGTTTGTTCTCCACCTGTCTCTACTTCTCTTATCTAAATGTCAGTTCCAAATTCAATGTTCCTTTAAAAATGTAATCACCAGGTTCCAGACATTATTGAATGATTTTTCTACTGCTATATCTAGAGGCATAAATCCTTTCAAATTTACATCACCCAAATGAAATGTAACCAGCGATCTTCATGACTGTGTACATAAACTTTATAGGTGGCTGCAGGATTACTTCATTGGTGCTTGATGTGAGAAAATGAATGCATTGTTTTGTGCTTTCTTTAAATGGTCTTTTGAATCAATCTTTTGAATCAATTTGCCAACTTGACCATCAGCAGGGACATACTTAACAAGTATTTGGCCTGTCCCTTTTCTGACATCTGTCTAACATATTGTCTTGAAATAAGTATTGATATAAGAAGAGCAGTGAGGTATCTCTCTCTGGATTTATCAGATGCTGTACTGATTTTTAAAGAGGCAGCACTGATGCTATGAAACCTCAAGTGAATTTGGGAATTTTCCACCTAGCTTTTCCCATTCAGATTTCTTCCCATCAGTCTCTACATAAGATCGTCTCCATCAATATTTAAATCAACCTCCTACCTAGCTGCAATGTCTGTCTGATTCTTAAACGACCAGAACCTCAGTGCACATAATCTGGCTTTTAGTGCCAGACAAAAATAGTCCCATACAAGGATATGATGATGTATGTAAGCCAACATGATACAAGAGACCCTCTAAAAACACGACAGCATGTGTCATGTTGTGAGCTACTTTCCCATAGCTGTGTGTACACAACAGATGTCGAGGACGACAAACTAGACTGTCTGTAGAGGAAGGACAGTACTAAATTGCCGAAAGGAAATACACTGCTTTAGTTTCAAGTTTCCTAGGAGGATTAGTCTAAAAACAGAAAAGACAGGAATCATTTTTAAATTATTTAAATGTCTATGCCAGTATAACCAGCAATCACAGTAACATAGTGTGAGGGTGGATTTTTCCTGTGATAGCACTGTTAAAAGGACAAATGTCCCAAGGTGGATCTAGGCCTTGGCTCATTCATTCACAATCCTCTTATTGCCCTGGTCTCACAGTTTTTCATGACCTTGCACATCCTTCTTCCTTGATTGCTTAGTTTCAGGGCAGGAGTGTCCTGGGCAGGAGTGAAGGATGCCATAAGACCTCTGAGAACTGCTGTGCACGTGATGACTCACAAAAGCAAACTCATTGGGCAAACCACTGCAGTAAGTCCTGGAGAGGACCTGAATCAAATCCAAATCTACAGCTGGACCCAAAGCCAGATCAGTTTTTTGTTCTCTGACCAGCACTGGAACAGACATATTCCATCTTACTGGGATACCTTTACTGAACACAAAAATTTATTTCACTGCTAGTTCAAAATAAATATTCAGCTGCAAACCAATGTGCTCCAGTTGGAACCAGCTGTGCTTCTTTGCAGACTAGCCAGGATTGCTCAAAGCAGGGTGTTTTAGCTGCCTAAAGAAGATTTAGTTATGTGCTCCTCTGAGAGGGTGCTGGTAGGATCTTTGATTCCTGATCTCCTGTGATGGAGGTACTGCATCAGCAGTACCCTCTAAACACTTATCAGACCTCTTCAGCTTATCTTCCCCTCTTTAGTCTCACGGACATACCTGTCTGCCAATGGATGTGCACATTATTGCACACAGATCCAGGCTTACTAGGAGAGCTAAAGCTTTAGCGTTACCATTTAGAGACCTAATCCTTCCCCTCTCCTCCACCTCAGTGCTGTCTCCATTTCCTGTTCCCTACCATACCATTGGTGTCTTTGACTATTACAACGCAGCACAGTGCCACAGCTTTTCTCCAGTTCCTGTCTTCAGTGGGCTAGACTTAGAAGTTTGAGAGAAGACTTAGAAGTTTGAGAGAAGCTACAGTATTGCACTGGGAACATGAGTGGTACCCACCACTCAAGAGAGGAATGGAAGACAGAAACTTTTTTCCCAGCTGAATCCCTCATTTGTGTCTCTGCTCCTATTAGGTGACCCTCTCCATGTTTCCAGCATGAATCAGATCAGCATTTTTTTAAGCTGCTGATCAAGAAACAGAACTGAATCACAGCAACTTCAGCCACTGTTGAATCCACACTGGAATTTAACTGAAAAAAAAAACATGCTAATCATGGAGAATGATTTTTCCTTGGTCACAAAGCCCTGACTGCAAGGGGAACTGAGACCAGTTTAATCCACCAGTTAACAGCACGCAGGCTGAAGAGAGACTTCAGGACTCATTCTTTAGTTTTTAAATTTCATATGGACTTACTCTGATGTCATTAATGTTTACCTGTTTTCTCCTTCTGCCCTCCTTCACTCTTACCCTCTTGTTCAGTCTCTCCATCCACACAATTGCCTTCACTGCAATCCTCACCAACTTTCTGTATTATTCCCATAAGACAGCATTTGCCTCTGCAGAGGTTTCAAAGCTACAGGATAGTGGTGTTACACCTGCTTACACCACAGGTGAATGCGGCCACCACACGCTTCAACAGCAATTGTTCTGTAAGTCAAAGTTAACAGGTAGTTTTACCTCCATGAGCAAAATATCCTTGGAACTCTGAGCTTGGACCTTTGGGTGCTGGATTTTCACTGCCACTGTTCTTCCATCCTGCAGCACTGCCTTGTGCACCTGGGCTAGCGATGCTGCTCCCAAGGGAGTGTCTTCAAAACTTACGAAGAGCTCTTTTATCTGCCAGGAAAAGAGAAAGATGCATCAGCTTAGAGTACCAGAGACTATCCTAAGGAAAGCCCTATCCACAGGCCAGAGACAGCATATGCCAAAGCTGAGCAGGCTCAGCCCTTTCATCCTTCCTTTGTTCGCTGCCTGAGCCCCTGCCAGTGAAGCCTGCCAAGCATGGAAGTGCCCTGGAGATACTCTACTTATGGAAACCTGTGGCAGAACCCCAGCAGCACATTTCATCTAGGATACAGAGCGATCAGGGACTCCTCTTCAGGCTGTCCTGAAAACAAGTTGGTGCGATTATGGTCAGCATCCTTGGCTGTTACTGGGTACAGAAGCCAACAGCTGTCCCTTTACATGTAATTCTTTTGCAGATATTTAATACTACCCACCATCAACCTGACAATACATATCCCCACACATTACAGCAGCATGACCTAGCTTCTGCGGTGAAAGCCAGTACATGACCAGGAGCAGTGGTAAGGGCTGGATCCAGGGCAGGGGGACAAAAATTGCAGTTTGCACATCTGAAGACTTGGCCTGAAAATGTGTTTCATGTGATGGACTGTCTCATGTTTCCAATAAAAGCAACTGGTGCTCTCAGCTCAGAAAAAGCACCAGGTGGGGACAGCAAAGCACTATGTGGGCAGGACAGAAAAGTATTAGCAGCTCTGGGTATGAAACTCAGGACTAGTCTATAAGGAAGTTAGTAGAAGAAGTAGCTTCACCGGTGAAATGTCCAGGAAGCAAAAACCTAGACAGACATGGGTAAGGCAACAGGAGATGGGCAAAGGCCCGTCTGCCCTGCATAACACAGCACCCTGCTAGAGACCCTCTGTGCAGCACCGGGCACACTATTACCAAGAACACTATTACCAAGAACACTATTACCGTGGTAGTGTGAGATCAGCCTGCCTGACTGGCCAGGCCCCTTCACACAATTAATTAGCTCAGAGGGTCTGCTGACATGGTTACGAGGTTTCAAGCACAGAGCTAGCTCATGTAACGTTGGTCAAGGGTTTCCATCCCGCTCTGTAGAGCAAGGTGCAGACAAGCTCTGAGATATCCAGAAGTCAGCAAAGGGAACCTGTTCCACCCTTCCCATGGGCTGGACTGATTTCAGGTGAGCAGTTGAGAAGCCTGTAATTTATGCAGTAACAAAAAAGAAAGAATGTCAGTGCATTTTTATAACCTGCTTTTTAAAACATGATTAAAGATGGGAGCTGCAGTGAGCTAGTAATTAAATATGAATAAAGACCTTCTAAGCAAAGTCTTCATGCAAAGCCTTAAACGAATATTCTTTTTGCTGACAAGGAAGAAATACTATACAAGGAGCAGCCTGTTCCCTCCTGCAGCTGCCAGGGAATGAGCCCCCTCCCACACCACCCTACCCCTTCTCTCCCAGCCCCTTCCACAGAAAGCTATTGCTAGCAACAAACTGGAGCATTTGCAGTAATTAGATTCCAACAGAGACTCAGCTGCCTCCAGTAATTCACTAGGAAGGTGCATTTTATTTATTTATTTAATTCCCTTTGGTCCTGGCGGCAAAATCAATTAAGTAAAACAACTGCATTTAAAAACAACTAGTTATGTGTTTTTTAATTACAGCAGGTCCATAATTCAAACCTATTGACATTTGTGTCTCTAGAGAAAAAAGGTTTTTCTCTCTTTCTCCTCTGCCCTCTTTTCTTTCCCATTTCTGGATTTTGAGATTCTTGTTTCAGATTAGTATGAAGAAAGAAGAAACTACATGATGACAGATGGCTCAGGGAACATGTGTTCCAGACACAGGGACTTTTACCTTTATGTGAAGTTTGTCTATCAGCTGAAGAGAGGACCTGCTAAAGGGAAGCTACTTCAGGTGGCCAAGAGCATGTTGGGCTACAAGATCCCTTAAGGAAGGAAAAAATTCAAACCGAGAATTTGCCACATGAGGTCAAGCTGGGGCTTTCTTCACCTCTCTCACTGCCCTGCATCCTCATGTTAAAGGGATGCACCCTCTACAGAGTAGCAGCCAATATTACCAGTCTAACTGTCATACGGGTGATAACATCCTCCAAAGGATAAAGCACAGAATTGGGAGTTCACTGGCCTGAATCCAGTAAGGTACATTTATAGTAAGACCACATATAAATTGGATAAAATTCCATCTGCTCTAGATTTCAAAAGCTTTTAATTGCCTACAGTGTCAATCCAGCGATTTTCACCAGCACTGAATGCATGAAGAGGGAAAAAAAAAAAAAAAGCTGCACATATTCCCTCTGGCAGGAATAATATATACAATATTCTTGCGTGACTAAGTTTTCTAAGGAAACATCACTTGAAGAAAGCTGTCTCTAGGAGTTCTTTTGGGTAGAAGGATTTCATTTAAAAACTTGCTATTTAGGACATGAAAGGCAGGTTAGCAGTCATGTCCGCCAGAGCCAGCCCAGTGGCCCTACTGCAATTCAGGGGGGAATTTGTGCGTGCCCACAGGCTGCAGGCGAGGGCAGCAAGGCGAGGGACTGCAACACGGCCAGAGAATTGATGGCTCCTCCAGGAGCAGAAGGGTAGAGCGTGCACTGGGGGGAGGGAGCAGATCGCAGCCAGGCCATTACATGAGCAGGTGTGAGGCCGAGATAAAGCAGCAGCACAATTACGGCTGAGCTCCAGGACCCCCCACTTAGCAAATCACCCTCATTCATTATGAAATTGTCCTTTTGCAGCTCGCTGGAGGCAGCTAGTGCCTCTGATGCAGGCTGTGTGTCCCAGACAGGCGAAAGTGAGCAAGAGGCTGTATGAGATGGAAGCAGAGAAGAGGTGAGCCAGGCTCCCCCACTGCTTGCCGGAGAGCAGGGTCCTTCCCAAGGGAAGGCGGCTGTGCCCATTTCATGCAGGCTGGGAGTTCTTGGAGTGGGCTGCAGGCTCTTACTGCTCACAAGCACCCAGCTAATAAGCACCCTTAACAAAAACTCTAACCATCATTTCCAGGATGGATAATTAGCCAGAAAAGGTCTGGGACAATCTCGGAGCCCACTTGACATGGTACTTAAGGAACTCAAGCTTCTTTCAGGCCACAGCTGGTCTTGAAGGGCCTAACCAAACGGGCTGTTACCATCTGTAATCCTGGCAGGAGATGAAACAAGCATTGTTTCTAGACAGATTTAATAAAGGTTTAAAAGAGAGGAAAGGAACTTTTGGGCTGCTCTTTCAAAGCTACAGGTTTACAGCCGCACAGGTGAGCAGTGTCCCTGCACGCAGTGGTTGCCCTCGCTGGCGTTCTGCACAGCCAGCTCCCCATCGGGCATGTGCTCAACCAGCAAACGAATCTGTCATTGTGCTTCGTGGGCTAGAAACACAGCCCTGACTGTTTCATTCTAAAGAATGAAGCATGTTTTATTCTAAACATGCAAGATCTTTTCACGATTGTTAGTATTAGTATTCACACCTCAGGGAGCTGATATAAAAGCTCTTAAAGGGCCTATCTACTTAGACACTTATTAGTATGTATTTGCACTGAGGTTGCACCTAGAGACCATCATTAAGCCCAGAGTGCCATTGTAGGAGGTGCACAGCCACCATGAGCCCAGCACAAACTCACACTTTCCAGGAGTCCCCACGTGTCACCCACAGGCGTCCTCACATGCTGAAGTGTCTTCGCAAAGCACACACTGCTCTGCCCCAGGTCTGTGGTGCACACTAGCTGATGCCGCAATGCTGAGCATCAGAACGCCTCAACATTTTTTGTGAATCCTGTCCTTAAACACTTAGGCATTTACTGGAAGTCAATTGGATTTAAGCTCCCAAATCCTGAGTCCTTTCTGAAAGTATTGCCTTACATGACCTGCCCAGCATGTTCTGAGAAGTCTTTGACAGAGCTGGGATTTAACCCAGATATCCCTAGTTCCAGCCTGATGTCTTAATCTCCAAACCATAAATGTTAAACATGCATGTCTTGCTAGCTAATTTCTTTTGAAATATACTGCCTCTTAATCCCAACCTTTCTATATCCATGTGCTGCAGCAAATGATCAAATATTACTGCCTGGTTTCAACCTGCCCACTCCACAGAGAGGTGTGTTCCCTTCCCTCTCCAGAAAGACTGCTAACAGGGTGCCTGGGAGCAGGAGCATAAGTCATGGAGCCCCTTCCTGGCCCAGCACTACACAACACCATCCCAAGTGGGATGTGGTGGCTCTGCTCTGCTGCAGTGACCACAGCAAATGAACAGTGGCCATGTGTCAGCAGTCTGTTCAGGACAAATTTAGGGTACAGTGGGATGCAGGATCACTAATGGAAGGTGTCTCAATAACCCAGCCCTGTTTAACTGGCAGGCTAAACCTATACCAGCACGGTGCTCCAGACCCCTGTATATGGTACAGCCACAATGAGGCGATTATGGGGTCTAAGCAAGAATATATTGCATTACAAGTCCCATCCAGGTGGCTTCCAGCATAGTTCAGGCCAGTTTTGAAAATTCTGGTTTTCCACAACCACTTAAAAAGAACCTTTCCTCAACTTTGCTAGATCTGAACCTGTCCAGGACAGGTAGTGTCAGTGAAGAGATTTTCAAATGCTCAGCATTTCCCAGGGGAAGAGAGTCCTTCACCAAAGCATTTCAAAACTGCCTTCAAATATTTCCCAGGAGTTCAAAGGACACTTCAGCCTGGAAAGAGAGACAATGGGGAGAGAATGTCATAGAACTCTATAAAATCACTTCTGCCACAGAGAACAGGATTGAGAATGCTTGTTTACTCCACTGAAGAAGCAAAGAGCAGCAAATTGTCAATTAGCACCCCAGATTGCCAGACGGTAGGATTAAAACAAGCAAAAATAAGTATTTTCCCCACACCAATTAAGCTGTTGAACTCATTGCCACAGGATGTTATGAATACCAGAAGTCCAGGTGGGTAGGTAAGTCAATGAAGAAAATCCATCACAAGTTATTAAACACCAAGATACAATCTCTGGCCCAGGAAATCTCTAACCTTCAGATTACCGGAAACTGGAAGATCATATCAGGTAAAAGCTTAA